ACATCCTTATCACCAGGAAGGAGGACGGATTTATCAAACTACTGGTTTACAGGAAAGCCACACACACAGACCAGTGCCTGTCGTTTCAATCGCATCATCTACTTCAGCACAAACTTGCTGTGATACGGACGTTATTGGAAAGGAGTGACAGCATTGTCACGGAAGAAGAAGACCGTAAACAAGAGGAAGAACACATAAGAACAGCCCTCCATACATGTGGTTACCCGGATTGGGCGATAAAGAAGGTCAAAGAGCATAATGAACAGAAAGAAAGCTATTAGAAAAGATATAAATCCAAGAAAGAAAAAGCACAAGAAAAATCAAGGGGAGTGCTGACTGTCCCATATGTCCACTCATTCACGGAGAAAATACAACGTATATTCACCAAACACAGGGTAGCCACAGTGGTTAAACCTCCAATCACCCTCAGACAGGTTTTAGTTCACCCGAAGGACAAAGTTGAGAAGCAAAAAAGGCTGGAGTGGTGTACAAAATTCCATGCACCCAATGTGAAAAGCCATATATCGGTGAAACAGGGAGACAGCTGGGAACCAGGATCACAGAACACAGAAAGGAAAAAGAAAAGATCTCTGAGAAAAATTTCACAAGATCTGGAATGTATTACCGCGTGAGATTCGTTCTATTACACATCTAGGGATTTTTAAGCGCCATCTGAAAACGTACCTCTTTAGGGAAGCTTTTTATTAATTTTTAATTTTTATCACGACAATTACTAGTATTTTAACATATGTTGTATATTTTAATTTTATCATAGTATATTTTAAGTAATTAGTAGTTACATACCCTTTATTAAGTTTTTATAGATAGAAATCATGTAATGCGCGCTTGATCATTTCATGGAAAGCGCGGAATATAAGAATTAAATTATTAAATTATTATTATTCATTGAGAGTAAACGTTGTCCGACCCATTGAGACAACGTGGATAAAGTCTCATTGACCATGAACTGTAGACCTAAGGACGAAGCATCAGAATTGCATCCGATGGTCAACAGTGGCATATAGCCTTAGTGCCATATTCGGGGCACTGTAGTTCACGTCGTTTATGTATATGTTAAATAATAATGGGCCACGAAGAGATCCCTGGGGGACACCTACTTTCACCCATTTCCATTCAGAACAAATACCCTCAATCTCTACCCTTCGCGGCGACGTTCCTTCAAATACTCACGAATTAAATTGGTAGCAGTAGTTGAAAAACCGTGGGCTTTTAATTTAGCCAACAAGAGATTGTGCCTGACACTATCAAAGGCTTTGCTGAGGTCCACTGCAACAACAGCAACAGATTCTTTGACATCCAGGCTACCACGCCAGTCCTCTGTCATCTTTAAAATGGCTGCAGTAGAGCAAGAGTGACCCTTCAAAAATCCAGCATATATTTGATCATGACCAGTCTTTGCAAAGACTTTTGAAAACGTAGTTTAGATGAAAACAGGGCGATGATTGGATTTTTTCAGACTTACTGCCCTTCTTGTTTACAGGAATGATATTATACTGCCCTTCCACTAAGTGGGTATTGACTGAGTCGTGATGAAATAGCTTATTTCGTCTGTAATGATCGGTGCAGATACACGTAGTAGGCGTAGAGATGTTGTCTATACCGACCGACTTCCTGAGATCTAGGTTTGTCAAGATGTTTCTCATCTATTCAATGTCAACTGTGTTGAGTGAAAAATCATGTAACTGATCACCACCCATTATTGACATTACACTTGGATGTCTAGATCGCCGGTTTCCAAAACCTCAGTATCATAATTTACAACATCGACAAAATAAGAATTGAGGCATTCAGCTACAGGTCTAGAATCTGTGTTAACATGATCCTCCTCGCCTTAGATAACCATACCCTGAGTCAAGAATTTAGCAGTAGAGGCCTCATTCCATCCCAGAAAGAAGCCTCATTGTTTTCCACAAGGGGCCTCATTCTTTCCCATTCTTTTTTAGAAGGCAACGTATTGGGAAACTCTGCCTTAGATGTCAACGAGTGTGCTAGTAACCCGTGCAAAAATGGAGCAACCTGTACCAACACTGTCGAAGGATTTAAATGCACTTGTTCAAAAGGATTTCAAGGAGAAATCTGTGATAAGGGTAGGAGTTATAATTGTGTCGCTGATTAGTAAGCCGTAGTAATTAGGTACAACTGGTGAAGATATATTCCATTGAACTAGGTGAGGAAACTGTGGTTCACACCTATGAAATGTACACAGGAGATTACACTACTCACCAATTTTTTCCAGTTCTTGAGTAATTTAATACTCTCTTGCTCTTTTGCCGCTCCTCCCAAACAAACATCTCCTTGATACTTTAGAATTCACAATGTTTTTGCTACCGCGTCAAACTACGAACTAGAAAAAAACAAACAAACAAACAAAAAAAAAACAAAACAAAAAAAAACAAATGAGCAAAATCTAACAAAAATAAAATTTTGTTACCGTCAAGTGCTACCAAGACAAAGAAAACATATTGTCTTAAAGGTCAAGTGAACCAAAAAATTGACATATTTTCTTTTGTCGCTTTACCTTCACCAAACACTAAAAAGAACCATGCTAAGTGAGATTTGGGTAAAGATTTTTCTTCCCAGGCCTTTATAGAAAGATAAAAGATCAAAATCCGAGCATTTCCGAAGACCTCACGAAAACGTTTCTGAAATGGCCGCGTGATAGACTGGAAACTACGTGACGTAAATGTTGGTCTTTCAGGGCGGGAAAACGTTCTGCGCAAGCTTCTGCGCATCCCTTATCGCCTGCGTTTGTTTGTCTCGTTCTGTTGTTCTGTGAGAGTTCTGACGGAGACTGAATGAAGGTGCGAACGTTTGCTCCTTGTAAAGGCTTTTGTTGTTGTTGTTGTTTTTTCGTCACTTGAAAATTACTTTGGATTCAGCACAACCAATGTTAGAGTAAAGACAGATCATTCCGTCAGTCTGAGGTGGAATAAAACGTTTTGAACATTTCCAAACAGGTTTGTATTTTTCTGATAATCGTGAATTCGATTTGTGAGTTGATTTTGTGTCCAGTGCTTCGCCTTCTTTCGCAGTGTTGAATTAAAACCTGCTTGTATTCTGTTATTAGTAGTTATGGTTACTTGTTTTACATGCGCAGATTTATTTACCTTTGCAGAACCAGCTTTATCCTTGTCTTCAGTCAAAGAACCGTAACGGCTAACGCATGCGAGTGACTCCAAAACAATCGACTCTTTGCCCGTAAACAATTGCTGGAGCTGGATTTGACTGAAGCGAGCAAAACAAATCCTTATGTGCAGTTTTCTGTATTTTCTAATGATTCAGTTTGCTGAGTTTAATTTGCTTAAATGAAGACCCTCGCATGGACATGACAACACAAAGCAAAATTAATCTGTGCGAAACGATCAAGTTTAAAAAACTACGGTTGCTTTGAATCCGATCTTAGGAAAGATTTACTAGATAAAGATTAACTCTTTTCCTGCCCACATATCAACGCCAAAACTTATACATTGAGAATTTTGTTTATATTTTAGTGATCTGCGAAGCTAGAAGTGTACGATCGAGCGTGGGTTTTAAAATATCAGC